TGGCTTTTCATTAAAGAATTGAGTTTGAATGCCTGAGTTGACTGTGAAATAACTCAATGTCAGACTTACTTGCAGACATTTTGAATGAACTCTTGTTTGCTTCCTCTTGGATTAAATAGAACTACTGTGCACCTTAAAAMAAAGTAACACATATTTTCACACATAAGCAATAAATTTGTCCTGCATAAGCAAAAGCATAAATGCATTTTTAACTGTGCTAATGCTTATTGCTACATGTACAAGTAAGAGGAATTTGTCTATCATTTTTTTTAGTTTTGCTGACCTATTGCTTATGCTATCAGCATACTAATGCTTATTTCACATGAAAATCAGCCTTCAATATTAAAATACTTGAACATTCAAGTCAGAGATAATATAACATGTGGTGATTGTGAGAATAATTCATACAACAAATAAATATTCTAGCTATCATTACATAGATTAAATAATAGTGTTATCTGATTCATTCAAAAGTGAGTTGTTACTACATACTTCCTTGCTACTTCTTTCAGATCTAATCCCTTCCATTTTCACTTTAATACAAGTATGATATGGTAGATGTATTGACTTTCAATGTGTTTCAAGTGGWTCGAAATTGACCTGCATTGAAATGACTTTGTATGGAAATGACCCTTTACCTRCGAGCACAGTGTTATTTACGCTACATTTCTTTCATAATTCACACTTCACTTGCAGGGAAGTGTGCTGTCTAAAAGAAATACATCTTTTCATACATTATAAAAAACTACTGTTGCTTATCAATGGTTGATTACATGGGGAGAGCTTATGCAAAGTCTGTGTTCCCCAGAATACCACAAACTTTATTTCATATCACTCTCTGATTCACATGTATCCATAGTAACTACTAGTACTCATGAAATCAGACTATGAAATCCATGATAGCAAATTCTTTATATAAAAAATAGAACAATTATTAAATACTATCAAATAATGTAAGATATATTTGTAGGTAAAATAACCCTTGTGATCATCATATCCATAACTAATTGAATATAATCGTTTGACACAGAGTCCAAGTAAAAACAATAACAGCAAATAATAATTTTCCTCCTGGACGCACACATAATTATTCAATGAGGTAGCTGACATGGATTAGACAGTTTGAAGAAATAAATCCACAAATCCTACTGATCTTGAATAGTACTTTTCATATTTTAGCCAAACTTCTGCTAATACAAAATACAAATATGGTATATTTTGACTGTAGTAATGTTGTATTCTTGTACATATTTGGAAAACATTAAACGCAATAAAGCAGAAAGAGATCTTTTGTCAAAGACAATGGTCTCCTGCTTAGTGAAAATGTATCAACAACTTGTCAATGATGAACGCAATGCATGTATAGATATTTTTCGTACTTGAGTAAACCAATRAACAAAATCAACACAGCCTTCAAATGGAGTTTTGCCCTTTCCATAATATAAACCAAATGTAAACAAACAAAATCAAGACAAAATATTCCCGGAGCTAAGCAACGATTTGGCTGTACTATAATGAACAAACAGTCCAAAGAAAGAAAAACTTGATGGCTTGAATCAAATCAATGTGTGCACAGATACAATCACTGCATTTCTTAAGTTGAATTTAACTAGATTTAAATATTTCACCAAGTGTTTAAGGATTTAGATTGAAATGCTTAAGTAAACATTGAAAGATCAATCGAACAGTCATTTGAATCTCTAATGATAGGATAAATCTGAAATCACATTAAACATCATCACATGCATGATAAATATAGAGAAAGCCAGAGAATTTARCGCGTTTTGAGCGTCCCACAACCATGCAAAATTAATAATTGATCTCAATACATGTGAGTYTTGGATTGTGGAGGGTCAATAACTAACTACAGTACTAGCTCGGTTCACGATATCAAACACTGTAGATCATCGTTAAAGGATGWCATCAGACAGCAAAAAYTGCAACGATTTGATTAATTAAAGTTTCTAATATCTATGTAAGATTTATGTGGCAAAATGCATGGAAAAAACTAAAATATTGTTGCCCGATTAGATCAGGAGGCCGGGTCAGACGCGACGTCTTACATACCAAATATCCCTTCATTCTCATTTGAAAAACAAATTTAAACTACGCCTTAAATAGAAATGGATTTGAAATTTAGATRTATTACATAGTTTTTCAAATTATACAGTATAAGCTATAAATTGAATTTATTCGAAGACTTTTTCCAATTTGAGTAAGTAACACGAAATACTAGCATGAACAAGAGAAAAACGAAACATAAACTAATCAGTACAAAGCCAGTGATCGTCATCTACCTTTTATATGTACAACAATAGTTTACAGAAAATATAAATTCACTTACCCGGCAGGATAGGCAATGATCCCATTCACTGGATTACAAGTAAGGGCGGCATTAGAAGCACAAGTAAGGCCAAGTACCTTACTGAGAGTGAGCTGAAAGTACAGAKAATTCTTGACATCAACATTTTACTGAAAACAAAASTACGRCAAGTTTTCTGTGCTTACACGATCTGTTAAAGGACGAAGGTCTCTTTGGCTGTTGGCTTTACGAATAACTAGCTTTCTGGTCGGTGCAGGGACACGAGCGCCTTTGCTAGCGTTGAGGGATGTCATTTTGCGTTCTTGCTACATAACATCAAGCCCGCCACTGCGATCGAACTGGACGGACAAAACCAAGTCACATCGTGAAGAAMACACACTTTTAACAAACCAACTTTTCAGAAATCCTTCCTAACAATGTGCAGTTTTAGCAARAGTAACAAATAAGCACCAAATGGTTCATTTTCACCAGAAAACCTTTCACTCTGCACGATTACCAGAGTTTGAAAAATCTCAACAGCGCGCGCCGTTCAGCGCATGTCTACTTCCGCCCAACCAGTCTCGCCAGACCTCCTCGTCCTAAATTTACTTGGCGTTTAAAACATAAATCATGCAATCATGAATAAATAAGCCATTGAAAAGTGAATGGATGAATAGAGAATGAATAAATGACGAAAGAACCTCGGTCAGAAAGAAAGAAAGAGATATAAGGGCAGGTGTCAACTAATACATATCACTTCCGCTTCCGCTTGATGGGTACCAGACCCCATCGTTTATCAAGGAACGCCTGTTAAAGTTTGAGTTATCTCTGCAATCACAGTGTGTGTTTTTATGAGTATTTTGATAATATGGCTTATAATAGACCAGAACCGCTGTCAGGAAAATACGAAGGGTAAGGGATGATTTGTTATTCTTAAAGTTAAATCGTTTATTTAGCTTTCGTGAAACGGAATGGACGAAATTTTGAATGTTTAGTAAAGCCTGTGCTTCTATCKTCACCTTGTGACTTATTTTACTTATTAAAGAATTCCATGTTGTCCAACTTAAAGATTATTGGACGAGGAAAATTCCAGGGACTGCCAAAATAGGCCTTGGCAGTCAGAGGCATTTTTTCGAGTCTAATTATATTTCTTAATTGGTCAGTATTGAGTATTATAGCTATCCACATATCTCCTATTAAACCGTCCAATTCACTGGACAGGAACCTGTTTGGCATTATGATACAAGAAAACGGATGTTAATTTAAAAAGAGYAACTTGATAAAATGCATCTAGCCACCATGGTACCATTTTCCATTGTTTATTTTTTTCAACAGGTCCTATGCTTACCTGACTATTAGAGACAGAATGCCTGTGATTTTGACTAAAGTTATTGATGGTATACATCGCAAGGCTACTGCTTACACCAAAGAAAACAATAAGGTCTTATTTGAAGCTGAACAAGCAAGTTTATTAATTCTACCAATAACCAAGATTTTTATGATCAATATTTTCAGGAGTATGCAGAAGATGCCAAAGGTCTTGTTTCCAAATTATCAGAGTTGAACTACAAGATGAAAACAAACAAACCATTAACCAATATTGAAGATAAGAAGAATGATGTCAAGTTATGGAATGACATCTTGGAGAGTGTAAAGGTTGATGGRAATGATTTAGCCTGGTATAACGGCGCTTGGTTGACTTGTGAGACTTACTTGTATCGCAAGATTTATGAAGCATTTGCACTCAGGTACTACATAAATTGCATCCCGTAAGGGAAGGTACATTTATTACTTTTGACCCTCCCCTCAAAAGTTCCAAAAATACTGATGACACTCCYCCCAACCCACACTCACAAGTCTCAGGCTATACCAAAGTTTGCAGAAAAAGCACGCTATTATTCACACTAATGTGATGGGCACTAGCAAGCCACTAAAAAGGTTTGACGAAAAAAGAGTTCACACAGATTAGTGCTAAGTTTCCCCATATTTTGCAGCATTTCCAATAATCTTTTTCTTTTTGTCGATAATGATCAAAGCGAAACGTCATCCTGTTTTAATTTTTTCTTTTTCCTAAAAAGTGACTCTCAAAACACTCAAAAGCAATTTGGTTTTTATCTTTTGCAAATTGATTTCCTGGACATGCAAATGTGTAGTAGAAGCTATGACAAAATTGGCCGGAATCTCTGTGCTTTAATTTCGCTCTCCTGAGGTTTTTGTCATGTGATTTGTTTTCTAATATTACCAATTTCGAAGATAAATGTTTGAGGCAAAATTTCAATGTTTCAACAAATATTTTGCTAGTTTATTTTTAGTCAGAGTATTGGTTTCCTTTGCTGGTACATAGACGCAAGAAGTACGGAAGTACACATTGAGAAGGGAACGTGCGTACTCGCTGGAACCCTATAGGCGGATCTTTGTTTACATGATTTTCCTCATTAGCATAAGCTTTTTTGCTTTTAAGCAAGCTAAATCCAAATCTATACTGAATATTTACAGATATTAGCTCAATTAGCACTCCACGAAAATTTGAGCTTGATATATCCAATAGATTTCGCATAATATGGCTTTAAAAACTACGAATTTTACAAAGAATGTATGGGCTCATTAGCACTTTGCCACACAGACTTTGCCACACAGAAAAAAGCCACGAAATAAGAAAACTTAAATCAAAACTTAGAAAAGCTCGTAAATCTACAGATTTCACAACACTTTGAGCTTTTTGCATGCAATTTTAAACACGATATATCAGTTTTGAGAACAATGGAAAATCGGGCTNGAGGCTTTTGTCATGTGATTTGTTTTCTAATATAACCAATTTCGAAGATAAATGTTTGAGGCAAAATTTCAATGTTTCAACAAATATTTTGCTAGTTTATTTTTAGTCAGAGTATTGGTTTCCTTTGCTGGTACATAGACGCAAGAAGTACGCATTGAGAAGGGAACGTGCGTACTCGCTGGAACCCTATACAGTATGTCGGTCCATGAAAAATCGACTCGACGGTATAACATTTAATCTTAGCTAAAACCTTAAAACTAGGATGACCCTCCCCCAGATAAGCTTTCGAKTGAAYATGTGACCCTCCCCTAAGCTTGCAAAAATGATATATGACCCTCCCCTCTCCCACACCAGCCCTCCCCCYAATGATAAATGTATCTTCCCTAACACACAAAATGTAATATTTTTATTTGATGATACAAAGAAAGTAGTTTAGAATCGTAGGTTTCACTCTCTCAGCAGTTATTATCATTGCTTATGCACATTACATGCTTGAGAAGTGGCATTCATCCCCTCCCCCCACAAAAAAAAAGAGTGTAATCTTCATGGCTTTGGAGGGTGAATTTTATGATGCATTATGTTGATCATTTGCTGATTTTCCAGCAACTATCACCAGGATTGTGATCCATTCAAGGATCAGAAACAAGCATCATTCATCTTACAAAAAGAAAACATCACATCTTTAGCCAACATCCTCTTGTCAGGCATTGGCTTGCTGACTAAGAATTCTGGGAGTGATGATCAAACTTACAGTCTTTTTGAAACTCTTCTTCAGGTAATATTTTATCTATGAGTAGATAATGCAAGTAGGAATTCAAATGCTACCATTTATAGTACAAACATTATTATAATTATGCAGTTTWCATCAGCATTAGAGTGGAATCCTTACTTGCTGTTGCCTAGTAACTGTTGCATAGTAAGTTGAAAGGAGATTATAACAATGTAATTAGCATAGTTTTCATAACAACATTGAACCGTAATATTCCAATACACATTATTTAAAAGCTAAGAAGCAGATTAATCACATATTTGAAATAAAACTACTAGACAATTTCTAGGATAAATGGGAGCTTTCAAAAATATCACAGGTGTGTGCTCATGAAGATGAGGTATTTTTGGAGAGAGGTCCAAAGTACTCTTATATTTTTACCTTAACATACCTCCTTTTCATTTGTGTATCGAAGATATYTTTAAAGTAGGGACAGTGTGGTGTATATTTTTAAGTTGTGTTTTGTTTAAGTAGAGTGTGCCCCCCCTGCTCCGCAGTCCCTGCAAAAGCACTGTACATGTATATCCTGGAAACCGTCCATTGCAGACAGTTTCCAATGTAGAGGCTTATGCAAATTACCTTGTTGYTGACTTGACATCTTTTCAACTGCACAACTTTTTTGGGATCAAATGTATGATCAATTAGACACCAATAACAGCAAAGTATGTTCTGCTAAAAACTGCAACATGAAATATTTAATGCACTAGAAAATGCACTTTACTAGTCTTATTCTAGTCTAAAATATTGTTGTTGATCCTCTTTCCAGACAAGGAATCACATGGATGTCAACAGTTTTTCATTTAATTTTTTTCAATTGTTGTTTAGTTCAGTCTCTGGGGAAACAAGTTTGATTTGTCAGTATTTAGTGGTGAAATTCTTGCACAGCACTCCCAACTAGCTTCAAGACTACAAAACATGAAGAGCAAAATCCTTGCAAATGACACCCCAAAAGCTTGGGCAGCATTAGAGAGCCAAGGTAACCCCAGAATTGACTTCATCTTGGACAATGCTGGCTTGGAACTGTTCACAGATCTTTGTTTGGCAGAATTTCTACTCAATTCTACAAACACATCTGTRGTCCATCTTCACATCAAGGACATCCCATGGTTTGTGTCCGATACTACTGAAGCAGACATCAACTGGACTTTGAAGCAGCTGCAAGATTCTGATATTGATTTCCTTTCACAGTTGGGACATAGRTGGTCAAAACGCATTTCCAATGGATCATTTGTGGTCAGAAAGCATTTGTTTTGGACACTCTGTCATGACTTTAGCCAAATGAAATCAGTTGCAAATGATTTGTATAATGATTTATCCAAGTCCAAGTTCTTGTTTTTCAAGGGGGATCTTAACTATAGGAAATTAGTAGGAGACCTGAATTGGCCTTACACTACACCATTTAGTGTTGCATTATGTGGCTTTTCTCCAGCCCCCTTGTGTGCATTAAGGACGGTGAAAGCTGAAGTAGTTGTTGGTCTTGAAGAAGGAAGAGCTGAACAAGCTCAATCAGCAGACACAGACTGGATGATAAGTGGTGACTATGCTGTCATACAGACCTCCTTTTACACTAACGGACAATAATAATGCTTTTCGAATATCCTGGTTTTGATACTGTACCTTCTGGAATGGTTGAAGTGCTTGGAATACATTCTGTATATATTGCTTCAGTGTGCAGAAGAGATAAAATGCCATATCTACATTAATACTAAAATTGTTTGTCAAATGAATAATCAAAGATTCATCAGAAAGGGGGGAGGGGGGCTCTAAGGAAATAGTACTGGGGATACTACTACATGTAGTTATACATTTTGAAAAGATCCTACTAGTTTTGGTAAAGACTTGTGACTGGCTGTTRACCTGTAAGAGATTGTGCAATAAATTAAAAGACAATCAAATAARAAATTTATTATTCATTTTTACAATTTGCTAATGCAACTAATAAAGGCAATAATGCAAGTGTTCTCCATCTGGTATCTGTGTTTATGACGACTGGGTGTAGGTGGAAATACGCTTTTCGATATCTTCTATATTGTTTAGCATCTTGGTTATCTGACTTTGGTCCATCTCAAACTGTAATATCT